ATCTCGCGGGTGAGTCCGGTGGGCACGGGGCGGCGGGGCGGTCCTGGATCTGAGACTTGGTCCTCGCGATCCGCCCGGGACCCGGATCCCCGACGGTCCTGAGGCTCAGAGGCGAAGGGTTGGCCTGGGTGACCCGCAGCATATAGAGGAGGCTTCCCGGCTGGGCAGTGTCGCCCCAACCCCTTTTCCTCCCTTCTGCTGGGCCTGCCTGCCTGTCCCGTGGAGGAACACCCCACGAGTTCACACATCAGCCTTCCTGCTGGCCTCACTGGGGGGCTCGCTGCAGGCCAAGGAAGGACCGCAGTCGCGGGCCAGGGGTTTGGACAGATCTACAGAAGCCCGGCAACCCTGCTTAGACTGAACCCAACCTAAAGATCTGGAGCAAAATGATTGAGAGTCCCCTCCCCTTATCAAAGGTCACTGCCAGCTGAGCCGGGGTCCTCCCTGAATCTGAAAAGAGAAAGCTCCCCCACACTGGTTTTGGGCAATCTCTCCTCGGTGACCTCGGGTGACCTGAGGGGATGTAACAGGAGGAACCTTTGGTTTCCAGGAAAAAGAGAGACTTGACTCTAAGCTTGTGAGACCTCTCCCCTCAAGGCAAGGGGCTGGGTTAGCCTCAGCCTAGTTCCTCAAGATTCCGGAACCAGGCTCTGCCCCAGGCTCAGGTCAGAGGAGGGAGGGAAGGGGCACAACCCCGGGCTGCACTGAGGCTAATTTGAGGACAGAGAGCAGAGGAGAGGACTCCGGCCCTATCAGAGGGGGTGCCCATCCTGGGGGAGATGGGATCCTGACCCAGCCTTGGGGCACCGTCGTTTGAAGGGCTCAGACTCAGCCCCTGGGGGTCCCAGCCTAAGGGACAGAAGAGGAGAGAGCCCAGGCCCTGCCCTTGGGGGGTTCCCAGTCTGGAGGGAAGGAGCCCAGGGCATGAGAGTCATCCCTTGCGCCCCCACAGCTGCTTTGGCCTTTAAGGGGCCTGTGCCAGGGAAACTGAGAGTCACCTTCCCCCACCCTCCTGCCACCTCTCGCCATGGGGGCCGGACCAAGCTGGCTGGACTTTCAGACACTTCTTTCCAGTTCTTGGGAGCGGGGTGGGCACCCGGTGGAGCGTGGAATCATGGAATCCCGTTTCTGGGGGCCAGGGTGACAGGCAGGCCCAGCTGTCCTGGGAGGCCTCCCACATCTGCCCTCACCCCACACCGCCAGGTCCCCGGGGCTGAGTGAGGTAGGCCAGCTACATATCCGGGAGCCTTTCATCTCCCACTTT